TATTTTAAACTGTATAAAAAAAATTGAAATCAATTGTGAAAATCCATTCCTTATATAGGACGGTCTCTCCTGTTATATCTATATATATAAATATAGGTGATTATATAGAATTTTACACTAACTATCTTTATCCTTTTTTTTCAAGTTTTCAGGAGGAATTTTAAATAAAGCCTCTACCATCCTATCAAAATCTTTTTTTTTAACCTTTCTGAAGCCTTTGCTACCTTCTACCAGTTTCTCTTTCAATTTCTCCTCAAATTGGTGTCTTATCTTTTAAACTTCTACCTTGGGAATTAGGAACCTTTTTATCCCTATGCCTATTCTTATTCTTACCACCTATAAAAGTCTCATCTATTTCTACACTGTTTTCTAACATGACTTTAAATTCGGGGAGGTCAGAGATTTCGTGTAAGCGATGTAATACAAATCAAGCACTTTTTTGTGTAATTTTAAGGTCTCTTGCTAATTGACAAGATGAAACACCTTTTTTATAGGTAGAGAGAAATTTTAGGGCTAAAAATCATTTTTGTAAGGATATATTGGAGTTTCTAAATATTGAGCCAGTTTTGACAGTGAAATATTTGCCCGTGTTCTTACACTTATATTTATTATCTTTACATTTATAGACCTTGGAATTAGGGTCAAAAGGAGATACAACTTTGCCCTTTCACCTCTTTTTCTCAAAGTAGTTAATACATTCTTGTTCTGTGGGATAAGATTTTAGGAAATCAAATAAACTTACGAGATTTAGCACCATACACCAATTTTTAGGTTTGGTGTAAAATTGTATATAGATGCCTTAATTAATTGTCAGGACAATAATATCAAAATAAAATGAACCTTGATAAAAACTTTGGTCACGAAGAGAAAATAAGAGAAAATGAATGATTTCGATAATCATGGTTACACATCATATGTCATAAAATCAGTTTAGGAGTTTCGGATTAGTTTAGGAGTTTCGAACAGTTTAGGAATTCGGGCTCATTTTCTAAACCAGTTTAGAATGGGTTTAGTTTCGAATAGTTCTAAACTCATGAGTTTCGGAAGGCAACTCTAGAATGCAGTGATGGGTCAATGGATGGAAATACAGAATGATGAAATATTAGAGGAGGAATTAGTAGGTCCAATAGGGTCAATTGAAAGAATCAAAAGGACTATGTAAATGTTCAAATGTTAAAACAATTTATTTAAACGAATTCAGTAATTTAATTGTTGTAAAATTACAAGTTAGCTTTATTAACTTAAATTGATGTCCTTTTTATAAGAAATACATAAGATTGATAATATAAATATAATATAAATATAATATAAACTTAGTAAACTTATCAATCTATCCAGATGATATAGGACATAGATATATTAATAAGATAAATAAAACAACGCGAAATAAATGAATGTTACAAATAAAATAATCATGTGCTACATTATTAAATTAAATGTTACATGTTTCGCAAAATAATTATATCATGTTGAATTGTTATAGACTAGACACCCAGCTATTAATAGACAGAAAGGAAAATGGGAATAGAAGAAATCTTTGAATGATCCTTCTTTTTATCAAGAATTATAAAATATTAAATGCTGAAATATGATTGGCTGCCCCTTAGAATTGGAATTGATTTACTGGACTGGTCCAATAAGTCCAATTGCCAACACTGTTAAAACGTATGTTTTATAGTTTTTTACCAAATACAGTACATTTTCTGTACATTCACATAAAATTTGTTACAATGACAATTTCAAAACTTAAATTAAATATAAATACTTATATCCCGTGTCAAATATTATTATAATAATAAGTAAATTCTTACATTTTCCATACATTTATTTTCTATGGGGCAGGCAGGCTGCAATGGTAAGAAAAAGAAATCATGTAGGATTAGATATTTATATGTATTTGTGGAGAACAGGTGCAGCCTAAAAATTTGGTCAGCTCTGATGCTGCGAAACTTTTTATGATTTAATTGGCTTATTAAATCCTGATAGTAATAGCTGACAACTCAACACAATGACACAGTGCAGTACATTATCTCTGCTTTAAAATTTCAGCAATTACATAATCGGTTTCATCATGAGTTAGCTTATCTGTCCACTCACTTCGCTTATGTCCAGAGAGCAGTAAATAATATAATATTATCTTACTCTGAGAAGGCATATCTAGAAAAAAAGTTAACTCTGATTTTTCATGCCGATCACTTCTGCGAGATGGTGAAAAAATCATCAATATATTCTTTCAAGATACTTATTTTTCCACAGTATGATTATAAGTTAAGAAAAGAGAATTGTCTATAAGTTGAATATGATATATCAGTAAATATATACACACTACAAAGTCTTAATTATATAAGACATGAACTTTATTATTAAGATATGATTTTAATAAGTATTGAAAAAAATGGAATGTGATTTAGTATCACATATTATGTAGAGGATGTAGAGGTACTCTTTTTGGTGAAAAACGAGCCCCATTTGATAAACGTTTATTGCCCTTCTTTAATGCATTATAGAATGTTATTGTATTATTTCTAGTACGCGCCTTCCAAGATAAAATCACCTTTACAGCCACTATTAGATTTGAAAATCCTTCTACAGTCCTTGGGACTTCAACATCTTGTAAATCCATTGTAATAATAGTATCTTCAAAGAGATACTTTGATACAGAGATTGTAAGACGGAACCCATTTGATTGGAGACTATAAGTCTCAATATTTTTGATACTTGCTTTTGCAGCAGAGGGTAATGCAAAAAAGAGCATTGTGAGGATGACTTTCGAACAGTATTCTAGTTTTTGTAGAAGTTAACTCCGATTTTTCATGCCGATCACTTCTGTGAGATGGTGAAAAAATCATCAATATATTCTTTCAAGATACTTATTTTTCCACAGTATGATTATAAGTTAAGAAAAGAGAATTGTCTATAAGTTGAATATGATATATCAGTAAATATATACACACTACAAAGTCTTAATTATATAAGACATGAACTTTATTATTAAGATATGATTTTAATAAGTATTGAAAAAAATGAATGTGATTTAGTATCACATATTATGTAGAGGATGTAGAGGTACTCTTTTTGGTGAAAAACAAGCCCCATTTGATAAACGTTTATTGCCATTCTTTAATGCATTATAGAATGTTATTGTATTATTTCTAGTATGCGCCTTCCAAGATAAAATCACCTTTACAGCCACTATTAGATTTGAAAATCCTTCTACAGTCCTTGGGACTTCAACATCTTGTAAATCCATTGTAATAATAGTATCTTCAAAGAGATACTTTGATACAGAGATTGTAAGATGGAACCCATTTGATTGGAGACTATAAGTCTCAATATTTTTGATACTTGCTTTTGCAGCAGAGGGTAATGCAAAAAAGAGCATTGTGAGGATGACTTTCGAACAGTATTCTAGTTTTTGTAGATCACCTTTTCTTTTATCTTGCGTGTTTAGAACGCCATCCTCTTGTGCTAGAATTTCGGTTCCCAAAGACTTGAGAAAGCCTTTTCCATCCAATTTTGGTGCACTACGGCCACCGATATCCATAAGTTCTTTTAGTTTTTCGTACAATCTTGATGCCAGTTCCCCATAGTTTAGTTTAAGGTCTTTCTTATCAAGAAACGCATTCCTCAATAATGGCATCCAAATATAGGAATTAAATTCATATTCTGACATAGTCTGAATTAAGAAGTCATTCTTATATAAAAAGAAAAAGTGGTGGAATAGGTTCTGCACATAGATAAGATCGTTTGATGCAGTGGAAATTTTTACTTGATGTTCATCCAAACACTTCCTAAAGACTCTAAATCATTCACTTTGTAAAACTTATCCAAATAATTTAGAACATCTTCCTCGCAATCCACGATAAATTTATCAATTTTTTTCTCACTATCAAAATTGACAGCTTCATTATCACAATCTTGAAGTTGGTTTGCGATGTATTTGTTGTAGTTATGAGGTAAATATCTTGTACAATAGAGATTATGGAAATTAATGACATGAATACAACGTGGGCTCTTTGCCATTTCGGTTTTCTTTATACCCTTCATGAGTGAATATGCAGAATTTACTCCCTCATATGTAAGTTTTTCACCTGGCAGAACACTTGTCTTGTACGTTTTTAAGACTTTGTCTGCTATGTCACTATTGATGTATTTTCTTAGTTTCGAAGCTTTTGCTATTTGCGCTGATGCTGAAGATAAATCCCATTCAGTAGTATTCGTTTCAGATTCTACAGAAGTCACTGGCAAATCATAATATTCTCCATCTAACTTGGTCTAGATTATAGGATAAAAACAGAATATGCCAGTAAGTTATTTGTTTACTTGTAATTTCACCCTTTCATTGCACAACATTATTTCAAATATCTATAATCACTACCTTCTTCGAAGGTTCTGCAGCCACTTTATTGTTTGGAGAACGTTTTGTTCCAAGAGCTTCTGACATCTCCAAAATTATTTCTTGGGCACCATATGTTCGTGCTTTATCTAACACATCAATACTGGTCTTTATGTAATTACATTGCGCAGTTTGCTATATACAACAATATGAATAAATATCAATGACAATAATAGTAGAATGCTCTACGAAAGGCCAAAACCTAATACTAACCTTTTTATGCTGAAATATGAGATCTTCAAAAAATGGTTTCATAGATGGATGCGGATATATCTAAAAGAAATAATACATAAACAATATCAATAAATTCACAATGCAAAGTTGATGGAGTGAGCACCGAAAAATTTCAGCAAAACCTCTGAATCGTTTTATATAACATAATAACAACCAGAAGCGCCCCCACGCATCATAATTTAGGCACCGAAAATTTTCAGCAAAACCTCTGAATCGTTCTATATAACATAATAACAACCAGAAGCGCCCAAAAAATCCTCTGAGCCATTCTACACGACATATAATAACAGTCAAGGTTTTCTAGCAACCTCTGAACTGTTTTTATATGGCATATAATAACAACCAGAAGCATTCTGTAAAAAAGAAATATACCTCATCACTCTTTGCTAGTTTTGTATATCGTTTATACCACGTTCCGTCAAGCCCACCTCAATCTTCACTAAATGGCTCAATCTTCAAGATAACATCTCGCATCTCATAGAAAATTGGGATATGACCATTCGGTACTGTCCTTATCAAAATATGGGACTAAAGCTGAAAAAAAGTCAACAATGGTTCAGTGCTTTGTAAATAAGAATAAAACTTCAACTTTAATTCTCTACCCTTGAAGCCTGGAAATGGTTCACTCATTGTTGTTTCGTTAATGTCGCGTTTAAAAGAGAAATAACATTCAATGTAATACACATTTTTAGGCGATCTATGCACATGATTGATTTATAGCAGTCACAGGACATGTCACGCAGATCAATAGGGAGTTGTAAAACATAGTAATTTTTTTGATGATCTGCATCATAGTAAAATTCGAATTTACATAGTAAAATTTTACAATCAAATGACTTCTAATCCCCATTTAATCCCCTTGTTGTGTAGCAACCATCGCCAAATTTGAGATATAACTTCTTTATCATATGATATCTGCTTTAAAAAATTTTTTAAAGCAGGTTGTTAATAAAACCGAAAATAACCTGACCTTCAAAGTCAAATTTTGCCTTTATATTCATTATATGTAAAATTTTGTTTGACGCGTCCAATTGCAAGTATAAGTAGAAATAAATATAATAAATAAATAGATATTAAAGTTTTTCTTTATCTACAATATATATATAAATAATGATTAGAATAATAAACAAGCAACAATAATGATTAAATTAAAAGGTGATTTATCTCTGACTTTATTCATTTAATTATTTATCATAGTGATGTTATTAAATCTAAGTTAAAATAAAAGAGAAATTTTATATACATAATAAATAATAAATATAACTATTGAATAATTGATAAAATGTTCATTTTTGTAAACTTGCTTTGCAAGCTTCATAGATCTTGTCTTTAACGTTTACTTCAATCACTCTTATACCAACTCTTGAATAATTAATAAAACACTCATTAGAATATTTTGTTTGTAGATCTTATACAAACTATTGAATAATTAATAAAACGTTCGTTATTATATTTTGTTAACAGATCTTGTCCTTAATGCTTACTTTGATCACTCCTATACAAACTGGATCTTAATCTTTATTATCATCCTCAAAAAAGATGATTCGTTGTCGTCGTTTGCTATTTGTTGCTATAACAACTACTGATTAATGGATATTCATAATAATCATTAATGAAACTTTAATCAATATAAAGTCAGAAATATAAAACAATCACTAATAAAATACCTTTTAGTTTTTGCTGAATCCCATCTACAAAAATTCTTCAAGACTATTAAATTTCTATAAAATAGTTTTTCGTGAACCTCTCTAAAACTTATTAACCAATATCCCCCATAAACTTTAAGTATTCTACACCTTCTCATTTACTATCAAGTCTTGAATACATACATTATAAACAGTACAAAAAATACGGAACTAGGACACTTTCCTGTATTAGTATCTTAAAGTACGGAACCAGTACGGAATAGACATTTTTTCCGTATTTCAAAGTACGGAATTTATACAGGAACGGTACTGAAATGGTACTGAAAATGGTACCAAAAATTACTAATGGTAAAACATGTTTTAGTTGCTATTGTTGAATCCATACTAATACCCAAACCACTAATTGCAAACATAAATAAAAACTTTATTTAATTTTTTTTTTTTTTTTTTTGAAAAATACAAAAAAGTATGAATATGTAAAACAAATTAATAATCAAATATGATTGTAGTCTTCTCATATTTGTCTGCCAACTCTTTAATTGAAGCTTGATGCTTGGATATATTGGATCATCTAAAAATACCCCATTAATTAAAACAATATGTAGAGATATGTAAATTTATTGTTGTTTTACTTTTAACCTGAAGACCCATTAATCCAATTTTTTTTAGAATTTTTCTATTACTATTTAAATTACCCCAATAATCCGAATTTTATTTTAACCAATCGGATACTAATCTTCAAAGTTTTTGAAGTATCCCGTTAATAAAACCTGTTAATCCAAAGAAAATGGCTGCACGGGTTGACTGTGTGTGTAATAAATATTAAATATTAGATATAAGATATAAAATATAAGCCTTGCATTTATTTATAACTCCAAATATCAATTTTTGACTAAATTAAATCATCTCATAATAACAAAGTATGCAATTAATAATAATATCATGAAAAAATGATTTAATAATAAACAATTAAATATTATATTTATCATATAGGGATAAGTGTATATGAAAAGTAATAATAAATATAATGGTCCTAATGAATATCAAAAAGCAATTGATTTTTTAGAAAAAGGTTGTGATTGTGGTTGTTCTTCAAGAATTCCCAAGGAACAATTTGCAGAATTAAGGGAATCTTTTCAAGCTCTCACTAAACCAGAACAAGACATATTTTTAATGGCCCAGATCAAAGTAATGGATGGTGGATCAACAAGTACCAGCAGACGCCTTAAAAAGAAAACCAGATCTAATAAAAGAACTTTCTATCATTGAGATCACAATACACTCCTTTGTCAAGAAACTTATCTCAACATGTTAGGAATTGGTAGGACTTATTTTGAAAATATTAGAAACCATCTAATAAACAATGGTCTTCTAGCAAGAGTTCATGGTAATATTAAAAAGATGCCTCAATGAAAAACTAAAATGGTGATTGATAAAAATGTTGCAGAAGTAGTAAAGAATTTTCTAGGAAATTATGCAGAAGTCCATGGATTGCCAAGTCCAGGAAGAAGTATCAATAGAATAACTCAATCAATTGTATTCTTACCAGCTGAAATGAGTTATAAATCAGTCCATAGAGATTTTCTAGCTGGTCTGGAAGAAAACAGCAAATTGAAATCCTTAAAATATGATGCTTTCAGAAAATTATGACATCAATTGACACCAGAAATTCAAATTATGAGTCCCAGAACTGATTTATGTGATACTTGTCAACATTTTCGAAATAGTTTACATTAAAATGTTTGCCATGAAGAAGAAGAAGCTAAAGATTACTCAAATTATGATTGAGCCCAAAATGTTCATGTACTCCATTCAGATCAACAGGTAAGTAAAATTTATTATCTTAGTCCATGTAAAGTTCATTTATTTGGTATCCAAGATGAAGCAGTAAGGGAACAAATTAATTATGTTCTTGATGAAGATGAAATCATAGGAAAAAGTCCTAATGGCACTATTAGTATGACTTTAGATGGGATTAAGAAATTGAACAAAGGTGAAAAGCATCTAAAGATTACTTGTGATAATGCTGGGGACAAAATAAAAATAATGTGACAAATTGGTTTTATTTATATTTGGTAATTTGTGATTATTACAAAGCATTGAATTGAATTCATGATTCCAGGACATACCAAATTCAAATGTGATGATAGTTTTGGCATGATTAAAAAACTTCACAGAAGAACAAGAGTAGATTGTGTAGATCATGTGGTTAAGGTGGTGAAAGATCCAGTCCAGCAGGATTGAATAAAGCTCAATGTTATGAAGGTGGAAAAGGTTTTGACATTTAGATATTAAACTATTTTGGGAATTTATTTTAAGAAATTAAATGGTCTGCGAAAATATCAATATTTTCTTTTTGAAGCATCTAATCTTGGTGTTGTCAAAACTCAAGAGATTCTTAATGGACCTTTTGCTGAATTCAATTTATTAAAAACCAAGAAGGAGATATTTTTGAAGAGATTAAAAATTTATCTATTTTAGTCTTAACACCTCCTTTAGATTACTAAAGGCAAGAATATCTTTACCAGAATATTCATCCATTTGTTAGAGATAAATTCAAAGATATTACTTGCCTAAGATCAATCTATACTGGAAATGAATAATATATTTAGAATAAAATTACCTCCATGACTTTATCACTAGTTAATTGTCTCTTGCTGTTGTTAAGTTTAATAGTATAATCTTTCGATGAATATTGCTAACAAATACTAATATAATTTATATACTTAACATACTCTTATAAAAAGGATACAAGTATATTAAAAAATAAATAAAAAAAGGAACAAACAAGAAAATCATGAAAAACATAATAAATGAACAGAGAAACAAACAACTATTAGAAGAAATTAAGAAGCAAGAATTATTGGATAAGATAAAGGGTTTAGAAGAAAAATTAAGCAACTAGAAGAGGAAAGCAAGAAATTAAAAGAGGAAAAGAATGGTCAAATTGCTCAAATTGAAGTTAAAGAAACTAAGAAATGGCCTTGATTGAAAATAAGAAAGTAATTTTTGGTTATTTCCCTCTGTATAAATTGAAATTCATTCCAGCTATCAAAGAAAATGATAGTTATTTTCCTTTAGATAAAA